AAATAACTTCAAATAAAATAACTTCAAGAAGTAACGTAACAAAAACAGGTTAAAGTCTCAGTTGATTATTTCCCTTGGAACATCAAAAATCAATGTGAGACAAAATAAGTGCATTTTTTTTTTTTATAAGTTCTAAACTTCAAATTAATTGGGTTGCTCGGTTGCATGAATCGCTTAATGTCATTTCTTTTGTGTAATATCTTTTGTTAGCATTTTGCTGGTTTTCTTTTATTATAATTCTACCGTTCTAAAAAAATAACAAAAAAACAAATCAATAGGAACAAATTAAAACCCAAATAAAAATATATGCAAATGAAGAAAAGATATATCCAAATTCTCATTACTGTCACGACTAACAAATGAGAAATAAAATGGAAAGTGACATTCCACTTAATCACAAACCATGACAAAATACAAGTAAATCAATACATAGTCCACCGTTGTAGAGTTGATACTTGATATTAGAATATTAGACTATCGGTCACTTTGTTTAATTTAGCCATCAAATAATTTTTCCAGCCCATTCAACTAGAAAGATCTGATTAGAACTGCAACGATGTCTATCAAACGGGACAGTTAATAGTTCATAAAAAATTATATATAGTATATACGGTGCGATGTGTTTTTTTTTTTTTTTTTTTTTTTTTTTTTTTGGGGGGGGGGGGGGGGGGGAGGGGTTGAAAACTAATAAATGTACCGCATGCAAATTTGCAATTTTTAAAAAACAGAAACCTCACCATTGCGTTGGCGGATATTAATTTATACGTTTTTTCAGTTAATTATACTTGTGATGTCAGATTATTTGTATTAGCAAGAAAATCAGTCCCTGCAATATCATAAATGACTTCGGTACCCTCCAAGTATGTTGAAAACGTCATAAACAACGACTATCTCCAAATCCTTATTTCGTGCACATTAACATACCAAATTACCCCTATAATATGACATACTTTTACAAGATAGGTAGATTTAAGGAAAATGTATATTTTTAACACCATTTAAAATAAAATCAATTCTAGAAAAATATTAAAACCAGTTCCTATTTTCAATAAAAAGCAATTCATAATCTAACATGAGGTTCCATTCACAATTAAGATAAAATCAATTAATATTTTTAAATTTCTTGATTCCAAATAAAGAAACTTCAAAAGAATAAAATTCAATAACCTAAATTGAGTTAGATTACAAAATTTTTAATTTCTAAATCATTGAAGAATTGTAAAATATATTGAAGATTGAGGATACTTGGATGAGTACATAAAATAGAATTCCTTCTTCGGCTGATAATGAGATGATTTGATTTCCATAGAGTGATATGGAAATCATCATTTCCCAATTTATATTGTTTCTAGATTTCGTAGCTTTCATTTTTTTTTCTTTTGATTTTTACTGTTTTGTTTTTCGATTTTCAACTTTCGAGCTCCAAGCTAGCATTCCTTCTTGAAAAAGTAACATTAATTGGATAATACGTGTTTGTAGCATGGTTTTAGGCCAATGTGATAGATATGTCCTGACCGCCTATATTGGTTGTTGCCAACCATCTGGACCGGTCGTGAAAATTGGACAGAAATATCCCAACCGTGCCAGGGATACGAGGGTCCTTAACTGATAAAATTGACGACAGTCTAAGGGGAAAGTTTGAAAAAGAAAAATGATTAGAGCATTCCAGTCCAATTGGAATGAAACGGATAATCTATCTAAACCATTGGATGATTTCAATAAATTATGTATGTTTTGGAAACGAAAAAGTTGGGCTACGCAGATAAGCACACCTCACGATGGCATGTTTTCGAAAAATCCAAACATGCTTTATTTTTTTTTTTTATAAATTAATTTTAAGCAAATAAGTATATATATTTTTGGAACCAACAAATATATTATAAAGGCTGCACTAGCAAGATGCTAGAGAAGCGAAATAATACAAAATAATTAGTTTTAACAAGATAACGCTTATGTACTCTTATCCGTATTTTAGCGGATTGTTACACCATAAATTCCAATCCAAAACACCTTTTTTGATTCTATGTTTTATCCAAGTGAATAATATTGATTTGATATTATCCATTATCTTCGCCGGTTGACTTCTAATGTTTCTGAAAATTCTTTCGTTTCTTGCCTTCCAGAGGCACCAAATTGTCCCATATTTTATAGCTTCGGCAACTTTCTTTTTCTTTGGGCATTTTCCCCATCTTCTGTCCTTTGCCAACACCTCCTGGACTATAGTACACTCCAGGATGGAATTCGATATACCACATTATTGTTCCACCGTTGACCACACTTCTTTCGCCAATGGGCACTCTATAAGTAAGTGATCCGCCGTTTCATCATTTACTTGGCACACATCACAAGTAATGGTGTTAACTGGAACCCTCTTTTGATTAGCGCCACCATTGATGGGATTCGGTTTTATTTTGCCCTTCATACGAAACACGCGACCTTTTTTCGAACCGTGTTAGACCATGTGAATTATAGTTACTAATTATTAAGTAATCATTTTAAGTGTTTATAAAGTTTTAGAAATATCATTTACGATCCGCGGTCATTTCGAATACAATTAACTTTTATTTCAAAATTAAGATTATGGTATATTAGAGCATCACAATGTTCATTAAAAAAGTTGAATGACATGATATATTTAATTGTCATTCAATAGGTGAAACTTTACGATTAAGAGATGACATCTTGACATTAAACGGATTTGGAGTTTTTGAAATTTTCAATGAATAAAAAAGTTCTTGATTCTTAAATAAATATTATAAATTAGTTTTTAATGTTCCATTGAACATTTTAAAGTTCAATGCATTATAGGAAAACATTTATAGATTTGTAGGAAATGTCAAATGAAGATTTGACAATCTATTGAATTTTATAAACCTTAATGCATTGTTGATATCTTTATATCAATTAGTTCATATAACTAATTTATGTTTTAAAATTGTTTAAAGTTTTTAGCTAAAAATGTTACGACTATGATTTTGGAAGAATGTGTCTAAATCCTTTCACTAAATTCTTTACAACTTAAATCAACATGTAGTTTCAGAACTTAGACCTTTATTGGCACTAGTTTGACCAAACGACACAATTGATTTTGATCGTCACTAGATCATGTTAGAAAAAAGTGTCAAACCACGTACGAAAAACTAAATGGGTTAATTAAGAAGATGTGAATCTAAACATAGTTGATTTTGCTCTATATGTGCATGCTCGTATACGATCGCCTTGCTCCTGATGATGTATAGAAGGGAAAGTGACACTTCAACCTACAAAAAGAAACCAATAAAATAATGATGATTTTTTCCCTCTTAATTATTTAATGATGCTTATTTCAATTATAAAAAAAATATATTCATCTTCTTGCATATTACAATCTTTATAGAACAATACTTAAATTTATGAACCCACGTTTTTTATTCTTGATCCATAGTTAGTCCTTACAATAATAAAAGACCCAGATTAAAAAATGAAATTTAATAACAATGTTTTTAACACTATTTAACAAAATATAATACAAATTTAAATGGTTTAAGTTTTTTTTAACAATCACTATACTATACCCCTATGGTGAAACGATAAAAAACGTGGGTTCAAGATTTTGATTCTTCCCCATTGATGCAGGACCGGGACAACACGATTGGAGGCCCGGGGCAAAATAAAAAATGGGGCCCTTTCAAAAAATTTATGTATTCGTATATTACACTATTTTATACATACATAAAAATACATTTAAATTCGTACACCATAGAATGGGGAAAACTAAAAATACAATGCTATTAGAAGTATTAAAATACTAAAGTCTCATCCACTTTGTTTCTTCATTAACTTGTTCAGTTACGTTCCTGTACATAAGTTGTTGACCTCCAACTGAAGTAGATTTATCATCGACAAAAAGTTGTTAGGTGAATTGCTTAAATCCAGAATACTTGTTGTTAATAACCTAGAAGTAGTTGAAAAAATTATACAACATAAAATTTTATACATATCAAAAACATAGAAATAAAAATAAAAGAGAGTACCATTCATAAATCAAAAATAAGAATATTAACATTACAAATCGAAATTACGCAATAAAGTTCAATAATTGTCTCTAACTCAAAAAATTAACATTTGATTACGTCTCTAACTTGAACAACCTTATAAAAATCGAATTTCAAAAAAGAATAAAAAATTTCAAGAGCGATAGAACATACAAAGATTCACAGTCGTATTATCATAAATCAATTTCACCTCTAACAGTCGATTCTGAAAACTGAACGTTCAAATTTCTAGAAATTGAGAAAGAAATCCAATTGAGGCAATGACTGGAACTCTCAATTCAAATCTCTAGGCCAGATTCCTAAAATAAATCAAATAACCGGATTACCTTCCCATTGGTGCTATATTAGAAAAAGGAAGTCGACAACAAGAAGGGAAACAATAGAGTTTCCCGTTTTCTGAAATCGTGAGAAGAACGAGACACAATCAGTCTCTCAATTCTAAAATAACATTCGATTCATTAATGGTTGTTGTGGACGAATTCGGAAAATCAGAAAAGAATGAAAGAAATAGATTAACTTGAAATCTTGAATAAGAAATAGAAGAATGATCGTTAACTCTTGCTTTTGGAGAAGACGTCGTTTGGATTTTCCATGGCAATGTTTGGATTTTCTATAGAAAGCTGACCGTTGAAGAGTTACGACGCCTTGGAATTAGGACGCATGCCAGGTAAGTCTCATTCTCTCCCACGCTCCATCTTTTGGATTAGTTCCTGATTAGAGTATTGGGGTTTGAAGTAGTCCAATTGGCTAAAAAGTAATGAGCTAGTAATATATAACAAAAATAACAAGTTAAAACTTGGGGCCCTGTAGCATTTAGGGGCCCGGGGCGGTCGCCCAGCTTACCCATGCCCACGGACCGGCCCTGCATTGATGTTCTAACGAATAGTTAAAGAAATACTAATAGTTTAGAATCGCAACACATGGTGGCAGAATTCAAACCTCAATTAGCTTCATCTTCCGGGGACGTTAGATCGGAGGCTCGTTCAGATCAAAACCGAGGCACTTACTATTGCGACCGATTGATTCCGCCATATAACGACGATCACGGCGCATCATCAGGAGAGTTTCAGCAGCTTTTATCATATCTTCATCATATTCCCGCACCTCCGCCTTCGCCACCGGTACTCGTAATGCCGAACGCCCTCTCCGGCCACCTTTTACATTCCGCCCAGATAAAGAACTTGTCCGATCGGCCACCTTCTCAGATCGGCCACCTTCGCTTCCGATGGGGGTACTGTTAGGTGATACAAGCTTGCGTTTCGATTCGACATGATCACCATGAACACGACCCTCGTGATAATCTCTTCTTTCTTGTCGACATGGTAGCTTTATCTTGAGTTTATTGGATAAGGGTGGTTTTCGGGTTTTGACAAGATCAGCGGTGGAGGCGACATTATGAAGCACACTTTGATCATTAAATTCTCTATCTAAAGAAAATTTGTTCTTGTAAACAGTTCTTTTATCTTCAAGCGTTTCTTGAACCCTAGAAGACGTCACATCCTCTTTCTTTCGTGGGTATGAATTTCGACGCTGGATGGAAGTCGTACGCTTTGGAGTCTTGATTTCGATTGAAATCGATGAAACTGCCTTTTGACCAGTAGCTTCTTCTCCGGTGGACTTCATCGTCATTCAGAATTCTAAACAAAAAGCGGAAGAACTTCAATGCCTTGACGACTTGACGTGATTGCACAAGTCAAAAGCAAGTATACATATATAGTGATTGAGAGAGTGAGAGTCAACTATAGAAATTGTCCCTTTGGTTTGTATATTACATCTTTAGTCTAAATGAATTTTTTTTTTTTTGATAGTTTGCAAACAATGATTTTAAAAATTGTACCCAAGCTCCTTACGGTCAAACTTGAAAGCCCTCCTTAAAAAGCATGTAAAATGATTAATATATCTCTTACATTATATTTATTATTTTTATTTTTTTGATTTAATATAACTATCTAAATCCCCTAAGCATTTGATGCACTGGTTTCATTTCGGTACTTTTAGTGTAAAATAACTTTTATATCATTTTAATTTACTTTATTTTTTTTAATTGTTTTATTTTTCTTTTATTTTTATGTATTTATATCAAGGTCGTAGAAAATGTTTGACGGTAACTAGTCGTTCGATTATGGTTAAGAGATTAATCGATCTAAGTGAAGATTAATTGGAGACCTTTAATTGCAAATTTGTTAAATTTTAAATGAATAAGTATCACTATTATCATACCAAAGTTAGTAAATACCAATCATAACATAACAAACTAAGTTAATATGATTAATACTGATAATTCATCAAATAGCTTTTTCTGAGATAGAACATTTTCAAAGTGTTAAAGTTCACCGACTTCTATGGGTTCACTCATTGTCGGGCTAGAGATTAATCGCTTAACGACTTCTAATCAACAAAGTAGCACTTAGGGAGTAATCGAAGATTAATCAGGATCTATAGGATTTTACAACACTAATTTTATAATATTTTCATTAAAGAAAAGAAAAATAAATAAAGAGCCCTCCCCTATTTTTCTTGGGAATAGGACTAATTAAGGTAATTAACTTTTCGGTTTATTCACATGTAGGTAACTATATTTTTTTTGTATACATCTAGGTAACAAACTTTTTGAAACTGTTCACATATGACCATTATAACCTGCTGTAGCAGGTTATATCCAACTATAGTAGGTCATAATGGTGACATGTGAACACTTTCAACAAGTTCGTTACCTAGATGTGTACAAAAGAAAAATAGTTACCTAAATATGAATAAAACCAAAAGTAAGAGTAAATTACACGAATGGTCCCTGTGGTTTGAAGGAATTTATGCGTTTGGTCCCTATTGTTTAGTTTTGTTGTGTTTGGTCCCTGTCTTACCTAAAAAGACTAATGTGTCCTTATTAATTTAATTTTTTACATTAATTTTCTTATTTATGTGTTTTTTATATGTTTAAAAAAATTAATAGACCCCACATATATGTATCTCCTCACCATCCCATTTTTCATCAGGAGCTTCTTCTCCGATGGACTTCATCGTTACTCAGAATTCTAAACAAAAAGCGGAAGAACTTCAATGCCTTGATGACTTGATGTGATTGCACAAGTCAAAAACAAGTATATACATATATAGTGATCGAGAGAGTGAGAGTCAACTATAGAAATTGTCCCTTTGGTTTGTATATTACATCTTTAGTCTAAATTAATTTTTTTTGATAGTTTGCAAACAATGATTTTAAAAATTGTACCCAAGGTCCTTCCTCAAACTTGAAAGCCTCTTTAAAAAGCATGTAACAAAAATGGTCCCTGTGGTATGCATATTTTTAGGGTTTTGATCCAAACCACAACTTTTTGGATTGGTGGTCTTTTTGAACTAGTTTCGTCACGTTTTTGGCCCCTCTATAAGTTGAAATGACTTTACTACCCTTGGGTATTTATTTTCTATTTTTAAATTCATTTTTTTTAAAATTTAATAATTATTTATTCATTTTAATTATTAAAAAAATGAGATGGCCCACCTCTCTCTCTCTCTTCTCTCTCTCTCTCTCTCTCTCTCTCTCTCTCTCTCCCCCCTTTAACCTACGTTTCACCTGTAAATCAACTTGCAAATCGCCAAATCATATGAGAAAAATGCCAGATCAAAGTGGCAAACCCAAGTCAAAAGTGAATACAGATTCAGTGAAGCATCAATATCAATATCATCTTCAACCCATATTCTTAAACGACTGTATATAAAACCAACAAACAGTAGGAGACAAGTTTAAAACCTGCAACCAAAAGAATGAGATGTGGTTTCATCTGAAGGAGGAGATGTGTTTCTCGTTTAGTCTCCATGATGTAGTTATTGATTTTTCTAGGTTGTTAATCCATTTTTGGAGTTAGTGATAGACGAAATCTTTGTTTCATCCTCTACTTGGTTTAATCTCTATTTGGTTCATTTTCTAGGCATGTAATGAACAAACATGTTTTGGTTTGTGAAGACCTAATTTTGACTTTCTGAAACCTAATTTTGACAATTACGATACACAAGTTTCTTTTATTTACCATTTGAAAGAAAATCATTATTCATACAAGAAGAAAAGATAGAGCAGAAGCAGAACAAACAACAAACCAGTAATAACTGCTGATATGCAGGAGAGAGAGAGAGGAAGAGAGTTGGTGTTAAATACACAGACAATTAGATGAGATGATTGAGGCGGTTGAGATATATGGTGACGAAGAAAGAAGAACAAATGTTTTCATGGTCGAGAGAATGCCTCTTCTATGTCGAACATGGCGGCAACTTGCAGCTTGTACATCACGCTCCGGTCACCTGCACCCTAATCATACTCGCTGAATCCATCGATAATGAGTCTCACAAAGTTGATTTCTTCACCTAGGGCTTGATATGAACATATATGATAAGGGTTTAGATGACGACAGAGATGGAAGCATATTTGATTTCATCATTGAAGATTGGCAAAATTTTTGTTGAAATCGAGAATCAGAGTGGGTTTTGGGGGAGAAGCTACCATTAAAGTATTATCTGTTAGTGAGGTGAATTGTGGGGGAGGGTGAGACTAAGGTGATGATTCGGAAGACAGAGAGAGAGAGAGAGAGAGAGAGAGAGAGAGAGAGAGAGAGAGAGAGAGAGAGAGAGAGCTTTTTATTTTTTTAATTATTAAAATAAGTAAATTAGTATTAGATTTAAAAAGGAATGATAGAAAAATAGAAAATAAATACCTCAAGGGTATTACAGTCATTTTACTATTCAGAGGGACCAAAAACGGAACCAAACTAGCTCAAAAGGACTACAAATCCAAAAAAGTCGAGGTTTGGACTAAAACCCCCAAAAAAATGCATACCACGGGGACTATTTTTGCAATTTTGTCATCTCTTACATTATTTTTATTATTTTTTGACAAAATTACAAAAATGGTCCCTGTGGTTTACCAAAAGTCACAAAGTTAGTCCCTGCTATTTTTTTTGATGCAAATGGTCCTTGTGGTTTGCAAAACTTTCACAGATGGCCCTTTTTACTAACACCGTTAGTATTCAGCCGTGAGGATAACGGCATTTTCATCTTTTCAGGTATAAAGTGACTAAATTCGTGATATATGGTAAACCATAGGGACCATTTTTGAAATTTGTTTGAAAAAAATAATTATATGGAGGATGGGAGGAGGATCGAACCTAAGGCCTCAAACTATATAAACATCATTATGACTCAAGCCCTAGCCTCCTTACCAGCCTATCAACCTCAGAAATGTTAGATAGCCTCTCATTCCTTACTCTTGTGTGTTTTTGGCCTTGTGAACTTCATTACGGTGATTAGAAGCTTGAAAGGATAAAGAAGAAGCTAGTGAAGAAGAACTTGAGTATCTTGAACTCAAGGATTTGGGATGGCATCACCTTTTGGCACTCATTTGAGCTTAAAAGCTTTCAACTTGCCTCATGAATGCTTAGATCAATGTTAATGGGGTTTTGGACCTTATTAGGTCCCAAGAATAGATTTTATGAGTTCAATCCATTTTTGGACTTAGGGTTGCCACCCTTGATGCTATTTGTGTCCCAATATTAGTAAAGTTTTGATCTTTGAGGTCTTAATGGGTTCATGCAAGAGGTATGGCCATATTTATTGAAGTTGATTGCTATTTCTTGAGATTGGGACTTTTGCAGACATGCAAAGTCATCAAGTCTGTGACTTTATGATTCTAGAGGTCCTAGATAGCTTGGATCTGTGTTTGAATAGCATGGCTTAAGCATTAAGTGCTTAATGGCCAGTTTTTGGAAACTGGACGCGAACGCCCTGTGTAGGTCTTGGGAACGCACTGCATTCCTACTGGAACTCGCGATCTGACCAAGGAGGAATGCCCAACATTCCACAAGGGAATGCCCTGTGTTCGTTGTGTTAGTGGATATTTTTGGGCCATTTCTTTGGATTAGATGATTATGGGCCTTAGTGAATTATTCTTTTGGACTGTTATTGGACTTTATTACATGTTGGGCTTGAAGGAAGGCTCATTTGAGAAGTTGGGCCCAATTTAGAAAATCAGGCCATTAGTGGGCTTGGGGAGACTATATGGAATTAGGCCTTAATGTTATGGATTTGGGCCTAAGTCATGGGTCCATTTAGATCAAGGGTAAAATATTCATTTTACTCTAAGAAGGATTATTGGATTTTGACTAAGTCTCATTGTGATAATGATAGCCGGAAGTCGTTGGAGTAGCCGTTAGAGATTCCTTACTATGAGATTTGGCAGTCAGCTTTGTGATGTGAGTTTTCTCCTGGTTTAAATGGGTCGAAGGAACCAAGGCCGACCCGTATATTTTGTGTGAATAGATTAGTATCTAAGTGTGGGCGAGACCCATATCTCATTGATAACTGAGTGTGGGTGTGGCCCGTATCTCATAGCATTATTTGAGTATGGATATAAGATCGATTAATATACTTGATTATACTTGTTGTTTGTGTGATACTTGTATGTATGTTTAGTAGCTGAGTGTGGGCGGGGCCCGTATCTCATAGTTAGCCTAATGTGGACGGGGCCTATATCTCGTAGTCAGCAGAGTGTGGGCGGGGCCCACATCTCCTAGTCAGCAGAGTGTGGGTGGGACCCGTATCTCCTAGTTAGTAGAGTGTGGGCAGGGCCCGTATCTCCTAGTAGT